ACAGGCGTTTGTTTTACAACTCTTTATTATGGCAATTTTCAAATATATAGAAAAGTTTATAGAATAAAGCAAAGACCCACCATATCTGTGTTACCAAGATTTCATAGTTGTTTACATTTTGCTCTATTTGCTGTGTCCTCTCATACATTTGACTTCATTTCTATTACATATTTACATATAAATGTATATAATTATAGATATAAATAAATTTATTTACTTACATATATAAACATTTATTCACTTATTTTTTTCCTGAGCCAAGTGTCACATGTCACCCTAAATACTTCACATTCATCTCCTAAGAGTAAGAACATTTCTGTTTATAAACCACATTATGATACTTAACAAAATTATCAATAATTCCATAATATCAACTGTTGAGTTAATATTCCCGTTTCCCCAATTGTCCCAAGAGTGCCTTATATAGCTGTTTTTCTCCCTGAGCAAGGGTCCAGTCATGGTCTAAGGGTTGCGTTTCTTTGGGTCTTCAATCTCTTAAACTAGGATAGACCTCTCACCCTACTTTTTCCCCCCATGACATGGACTTGAGGTTAGACCAAGTGCTTTACAAAATCTCCCACATTGTAGATTTGACTCTTCCTTTGAGCTATAATTTAACTTGTTCTTTTATTCTTATGTCTGTGAAATAGGAGTTAGGTTTACATATTTGGTTACATTCAAATAAAACATTTGGCAAGAATATTTCATAGGTAATATTGTCTACTTTTTACATTAGGAGGTATATAATTACTGTTTTTTTTTTCACTATTAATGCTCTTAAATTCACTTTGGGAAATGACTACCAGGTTTTATCATTTAAAGGTACATTTTATTCTTCGCTCTAAGTAACTAATCTTGATACCTTATGAATATCTTATTTATTCTTTCACTTACTGGTTTCAGTCTCCATTGATGATCCTTGCCTGAACTAGTTATTCCATTAGGATTATAAAATGGCAATTTAAAAAATTTGACCATTCCTTCTAAATAATGAGCTAGGATTCTTCTGTAAGGATGGGCTTCACTTTTTTCCCCTTTCACTCTTTTCTGTCTTTTTGAAGTATCACCATGAACTGGTAAATATTTATTCAATTTGCTATCAAAGCCGCTCCTTCCAGTGCTCAAATTGTCCCAAATTTGACTAATGAGAGTCTCCTTCAGGGTTGTTTCTGTTCATTTCACAACCCTCCACCTACTTCTCTTTGCATACTTTTTTGCATTATAGCATAGCAACAATTTTAAGCTTACTTTGTACTTTCCATACACCAGAATGGGAATCAGCCATTTTTCCAAGGAGTCTTGGTTCCAAAAATGGAGATTTTTTTTTTAAATTTAATGATTCTCTCTTTTTTCCTCCCATGGAGACCTTCCTTCATTGAGTTCTGTATTAAATCAGGATTACTAAGTACCAGATCCCAATACCCCAAATATCCAAGGCAAGGATGAGACGGAATAAGAGAGTAGTCTTTGCTATGTCAGAGGACATATTCCAGCTTAAGGCGATCACTTCCTACTTTGGCAGCATACTGATAATATATCCAGTCTGGTCCTTCTCCCTCCACCTCTAATTTTTCTCACATTTTTTTTCCTTTCTCCCTATCTCCCTATTCATTCTGCTTTGACCTTTACTTTTATTTTTCTGTGTTAATGCATTTTGAAGTTAGGGCTTTAAGCTTTGCAAAGTGACCATTTGCTGCAGCCATTCTAGCTAATTAATGTAATGTTTAGGTTTTGATATACTCTTGCTTAATATTACTTTATACTTATTATGTTATCTTATGAAGATTTCTTTCTCTAATGAGGTTGTGGTACTGCTGTTTCCTTCAGCTCTTGAATGGTGGTTGGACAGATGACCTGTGTGTTATTTTCCTGTCACGGTTTCATGTATACCTTCCATTAGATTGGATTTTGTACATCTGTTGCATTCTTCTCTGTCATTTGGCCAGGATTGAGTTAAACATGTCTTTTTTTTCTCCCTCTACTCCCTCCCCCAGATCGGGGAAGGAAGCATTTTACCCACATTTTCCTTACATAAATCTCTCTCCAGATGGAGGGTTAAAGTCTTCTTGTGTTAGGGAGGAAGGAAAATTACCGTATTGCCTGGACATACATTTTGGATTTCCCAGGAAAAGGGGAGCATTTCAAAATCTGATGAGTCAAGACAGATAATAAAAAAATTGATAAAGATAGGGCTGCCTGTTTTTATATTCTGCTGCATAGCGTGTGTTTCAATGAATATGCCTAGAATTTGTCTTCAAATGCTGACATTTACCTCTTAGGCTGTATAATTGTGCTGGCTTTCTCCAGAGTACAATTCGTATTCTGCATCCAGGCTAATATGTCCACCTACTATAAACATCACTGCCTATGGTAACGACCAGGCAGAATCAAAAATTCTTTTTATCTACGTCATAGCTGGCAGGGACTCTCGGGACCACCACACATCATTCTCGTCATTTGAAGCTTATGGACAAAAAGCATGACACTGTAAAAACCAGCCTGGTCTGACATACATTGACTTTGAAATCATACTAGCTTATTTAGAATGCTTCATTCCATCATTACTGTTTTTAAAGTACTGAGGATTCAATAAGCTCTTCTAATTAATGTATTCTTTAAGCCTAGTAACCTATCCTTTTATGGTGAACCATTCCCCTTCTATAAACCATCTCTGGCTCCTTTTTTTGTTAAAGGTTAATAATGAGAATAATGAAGCAATTGATTATTTATGCAGTCATGATTGGCAAAAGTTATTAGAGCAGGAACCTGCCCTGAGGCAATGATTAGGTTATGAAAATGTTAAGGAATACTGAAACCAGTCACCATTTTTGACATTTACGAAATACTATTCCCATCCTTAATCATGATGGCCGGCTGTAAAAGTATTTATATAGAATAATCTCATTGGACAGTAATTTTTATACCAGCAGCATACATAATTAAGTGAGGGGGGAGATTTGGAAATGATCTGAAAGAAAAGTGGGCCTGGGGAGGAAATTACCAGAATGAGAAGGAATAGAACTCTCTCTTGGAGAGAGCTGTCTCCCATACACCTGATCTATGCAGTGAAGTGACTTTTCCAATTTAGGGTTTTCATCTTGAGCACTTAGCAAGTTCGAGGAGCTATGAGAGAGGGTACCCCTGTTTAGGTTGCTATATTCTCCATATTAGTCTGTGAAAAATGTAGAGAGGCATATGGGCAGAACATTTCCTAATCATCATTTTATTAATGAAGCATGGGCTTAACTGGCATTATATAAAAATAATACAAAAATTTAATTATAATTCCTTTATGTTTAATATGGTTAGAACTTTCTTCCTAAATTAGACAGTAATTATACTTTTTTTCCCCAAAACAGTGTTATCACTTCTTCTCTGCAGTTTTTGAGGTAGCAGTTTTATTGAGATATAACTCACACACAATAAAACTTACCCTTTTGAAGTGTGCAATTCAGTGGTTTTGAGAATATTCCCAAAGCTGTGCAAGCACAGTTATCTAATTCTAGATCATGTACATTACCTTACTCCCCAGAACCAATACCCATGAGCATTTGTTCCCTATTTCCCTCCCCCAGCTGGAAGCACACACTAATGTACTTTCTGTCTGTATGGATTTGAAGTAATTTTTCAGAAAATTGGAGGACAGGAAGTGAACATGGTTGAATGTAACTTTTATTTGTGATCCTGTTTACTTAGAACTGAGTATTCTTTCCCCAAGTTCATTGGAATAGGTATTCAAAACAATTAACAACAACAACAAAACCCCAGCATCTTTACATAAATAAAATCATACTTGTGGCCTTTTGTGTCTGGCTTTGTTAGCATAATGTATTCAGGGCTCATCCATATTACAGCATGTAGCAATACTTTGTTTCTTTTTATGGCTGAGTGGTACACTGTGTATAGATATACCACATTTAGTTTATCCGATTATCACTTGGTGACATTTGGGTTGTTTTCACTTTTTCACTATTATGAAGAATGTTACTCTGAATATTCATGTTCAAGTTTTTGTGTGGACATATATTTTTTTATTCTCTTGGGATTATAGCTAAAATGGAATTACTGAGTCATATGTAACTCAATGTCTAACTTTTGGGAGCACGGAAAAATTATTTTCCAAAGCAGCAGTATCATGTCACATTCCCATTAGCTGTATAGGAGGGTTGTAATTTTTCTACATCCTTAGCAAAGCTTTTTATTGTTAGTCTTTTTGATTATAGCCTTCCTAGTAGATACAAAGTGGCATCTCATCTTGTGGTCTTGATTTCCATTTTTCCAATGTTTAATGATGTTGAACATATTTTCTTGTGCTGCTTGGACATTTGTATATTTTCTTTTGAGAAATGTCTATTCAAGTTCATTACCCATTTTTAATTAGGTTAAATTTGTCCTTACTGTTGAATCATACAAAGTCTTTATGTATTCTGAATACCAGTCCCTATCATCTCTACAATTTGCAAATATTTTCTCTCATTCTGGAGGTGTTTTTTTCAAATTTCCTAATAGTGTCCTTTGAAGCAAAAGTTGTTTTGTGTGTATGCTTTTAAAACAATTTATTTATTTATTCTTTGTTTTTCTGTTTTCTGTTTTCTGTTTTCAGGTGACCATTGCCTAATCCAAGGCCAGAAACTTTTACTTTTGTGGGTTTTACAGTTTTAGCTCTTATATTTGGATCAATGATCCCTATCTGGTTCGTTTTTGTGTATGGTGTGAGATAAGAGTCTAACTTTATTCTTTTGCATGTTTTTTGTTTCATTCAAACTTAAAGATTTGAGAGAGAAATATCTCCTCAAATGGGATGACCATTGCTACTCTCTTTGTGAATTATTGTTTTCATGATTTTTTTTGATGAATATATGTACTGTGTTTATCTACTTGCACTCTCCCCAAATATGGTTGCATTTTGGGCTCTCTTTTATTTACTGGAATCTGAAAAGCAGCACTGAGAGATGTAGTGTGTTCCTTTATTCGTTTTTTCCCTTAATTTACAATCTCACCTCTTCAGCTACAGTATAGAGAATGCCAAGAACTCCTAAGTCTCTATCAGAAATACCTATCAGAACAGCAGGAGAAGCTCACCATGTCTCTCTCAGAACTTGGTGCTGCTAAAATGCAGGAACAACAGGTAAGCAGCTATATTCTTACCTTTTCTTGTCACAAGAGTCATTGCCTTTACTGTAATTGAATCCCAGTATATAACATTGTCTTAAAATATGCAGATATAGCATGTGGTTGAGTTAGTGTCATTTACTTCTTTTTCTTTTTCACCTCCTGTTCCTGGGGCCCAGAGGTCAGAAATGGTACTTGAAGCAGGCTGTGGGTCAGTGAGAAACTCCTAGTTATATGAGAACACAGCAGGAATAGGAAAGAAAACCCCACTGCCCTGTTGCTTAATGAAGAAGAACAGGTGGGCTGTTACTCATTTTCCTTATGGAAAACACTAATGAGCCTTTCCTAACTTATGTTTATATTTTTAGAATAATAAAAGTGACTTGGTGACTTACACAATTTTTAATTGTAGAAAGTTGAAATATTTTGCATGTATGTATGCATAAATCACATAAATATAGATGCGAATCTTTTTATATAAACTTCTATATACATATCCTCAAATGGTATGTATTGTATAATTAAATGACTTTTCAGAACCCTGCCAGTTGTGATGTGAAGCAGGTTCTCAACCCCTAGCCGGTGATACTTGTTGTCTTTTTCATATCCAAATGAGTTTAAGCCTTCAAATGGATGAGGACAGTAAGTTTTACACACTGACACATCACAGGAAAAACTGCAGTAGGGTGCAGGCCATTCTTATTAAGTATTAAAGCCTGGATAATGTGCTAACATGTTATCTTCCCCTTTGAATACTATCAGATCCTGTGAATGGTTTCTTATAACCCTTCTAACAAACATCATTGCTGTTCAGCCTAGAGACAACGATCTCAGATAGGTTCAGAATTTTGGTCTAGAATTTGCAACAATGTAAATGGAAGGAACTTGTAGGGCATTATACTAAGTGAAACAAGTCAGTCAGAGAAAGACAGGTATCATATGTTTTCGCTTATATGTGGAGGTTGAGAAAATTAACAGAAGACCATGGGGGAAGGGAAAGAAAAAAAAAAACAAAGAAATAGTTGCAGAGAGGGAAGCAAACCATAAGAAACTCTTAAATACAGAGAACAAACTGAGTGTTGATGGGGGTGGGGATATGGGGGGTAATGGGTGATGGGCATTGAGGGATGGGCACTGGATGCTCAAATAAATAAACTTAAAAAAAAGAAATGGCTAAAGTACGAATGGTTTATTTGTCTTCTGATTTGAAATATTTTCTTTTGTTCTGTTTTCTGAAAACCCTAGGCTATAAAACGAGGCAGAAGAAGGTGGCAGCTAATCTTGATGGTCTATCTGGATTTTCCCTGCCACTTTGAAAATGAGGCAGAAAGAGTTTTTGTTTGTTTATCTTAGAGAGCGAGTAGGGGAGAGGGGCAAGGGGGCGGGTGGGGGGGAGAATCTGAAGCAGGCTCTACTCACAGTGTGGAGCCGGACAGGATGGGTGATCCTAGAACCCTGGGATCAGGACCAGAGCCTAACTCAGGAGCCTGACACTCAGCCTGCTCAGCCTACTTAGCCATCCAGGCACCTGGGGAAGGCAGTTTTTAAGGTGGCCCTTGTCTATTGTGTTTGGGTGAGCTAGAGAAAATTGTAGCATCAACTGTCAGATTTCTGACCTTTGCTTTTGTATTTCCATTCTTTCCCTCTGCATGACATAGTGGGCGGAGGGCACAAAAGTGAAGGGCACCCCATTTGGTAAGGGTATTGGAGGGGAAGCAGAGGGTTTTTCACTTGCCAGTTAGACGCTTAGGAACTTAAGGATATAGATTGAGGGGCACCTGGGTGGCTCAGTCAGTTAAGTGTCCGACTTCGGCTCAGGTCATGATCACACGGTTCGTGGGTTCGAGCCCCGCGTTGGGCTCTGTGCTGACAGCTCAGAGCCTGGAGCCTGCTTCCGATTCTGTATCTCTCTCTCTCTCTGACCCTCCCCTACTCATGCTTTCTCTCTCTCAGAAATAAAACATTTAAAAAAAAAAGGGTATAGATTGAGAGTGAGAGTGAAGAAAGAGTCACTAGAGGGCTCTAAAGACATGTAGGGGCTCTAAAGACTTCTGGATAAGGAGAGCTCACTCTTTTTTTTTTTTATCTACTTCTGAAATTGGGGGAAAATAAAACTTTCTTAGGTGTTACTGTTCTAATGTTTTATATTTATGCTACTGATTCTTGGAGGTTTCATTAGAGACCCATCATAATTAACACCAATTCTCTAACCTTAACTGTGTGGAACAAAACTGAAAAAAAATCACTAATACTAAAATGAAGCTGTTGGCCAAGTATATAGAGAGAGCACCCTCAAAAAGAGGAATTTTGATTTTTCATTTGGATTTACTCATGAGAAAATTTTAAAACAGTGTTTTCTGGAAATGCCTGGTAGTTAAGTCATTATATCTTGTGTGCAATGAAATGAAATTGAGGCCTCTTAAAGGCTCTGCCATTTGACTTCATAGAGGAAATAAGTTTCTTTTTGAATGCCAAGTGGAGATTGTTATCTTGCTTCTTATGGTATCTCGTTTGCTCTTTATGACAGGCCTCTCTTACCTGAACACAGGTAAACACCTTCCCATTCCCTCTCATGGGAATTGGGTAAATATGGTAAACAGGTTTATTTTCTGTCAGGAGGGGATCATTGTGATGACTCTGATCCTGAATGAAGATGTGGTGAAGTTCACTGTCCTCTTTATGTGCTCACAAATAGACTTTGGTTATCTTTATCGTAGCACCTTTCTTGTTCTTTTGTAATTATTCAGCCTTCTTTCTCCTTCAGCAGGCTTTTTAGAAAAACAGGCATCTTATGGGATTGGTCTTTATATTCTCAGAACCTATTACAGCGTTTGGCTTAATATTTAATTTTTATATAATAAATATCTATATAGTACATATTGGGTGCCAGTTCTCAACTTGTAACACATATTAAATCATTTAGTCCTCATAATAAACCAGTGAAATAAGCCCCACTTTACAGAGGAAGAACCTCAAACTCATTCAGAGAAGAAAATGATGACTTGCCCAGGTCATGCAGGTAATGGGTTGGCAAATCAAGATGTGAACCCAACTAGTCTGAATCCATAGTTTCTGGAACAAAGACAAGAAAAACTGGAGATACCTTAAAAGAATTCTCTTTAGAGAATTTCTATGATTAATTTTTTTTAATGTTGGTTTATTTTTAAGAGACAGGGAGAGATGGAGTGTGAGCAGGGGAGGGGCACAGGAGAGGGAGACACAGAATCTGAAGCAGGCTCCAGACTCTGAGCTGTCAGCACAGAGCCTGATGTGGGACTCAGACTCCAGAACTATGAGATCATGACCTGAGGTGAAGTCAGACATTTAACCCACTGAGGCACCCAGGTGCCCCTGACATTTGGTTTTTTAATATTAGAGCACTAATATACTAGAAATGGTAGGAAACTCTTTATTTGCCTTTACTGTGAATAGCCATAATATCAGGGAAACATTACATTTTGTTTGTTCTGAAAATAAGGTTTTTTTTTTGTTTTGTTTTTTGTTTTTTTTTTTTTACTAACCTCCAAATTCTGTGATGTAGACAGCAGCGGTTCATTTTTCATGAGGCATTTACTTGACTTAAGAGACTTGTTCTGTTTCTTCTTTCATTGTTTGCCATCTGGCTCAAGGTGCATATTATAGATTTTGCTTATAGTTTTATTAAATTCACAGTTCTCCAGAAGAATGCCTTAGCTTATGACTTTTTTCATTGATTTCTGCCATTTCCTTGAAAAGGGATTACTCTATTTATAAGGTGAATTTTTTCCTTGTTTTTCCCTCATCCTCTTTCTTGCTGTGCCTCAAAGATGAATTTTCTAATTCATTCAGCCTGGATTCATTGTGGATTCCAGAAATGTTTTTCACTTGTTCTGTTTAGATTAAGGTATTTCATTGATGTGTGTCTGTTACTCCATTTCCCTATCTTAAGAAATAGGACTTACCCACAATATAATCTTGGTCTTGGATGTGGGAGGATCTAATAACCATAGTTTTGACCAATGCACATTTTAGAATATAGCTTTTCTTACCACAGTTGAGTGTTTGATCACTCTACCATTTTAGAAGTGTTACATAACAGTATTTCTAAAGTATTCTTTATATTAAGAGAAAGTCTCAGCAGCATTTTGAGTATCTTCTCCCACTGCCATTCAAAAATGTTGGTATGTGAGCCTACCTTACTGGGTTTTTTTTTAACCTTTCCTGTTTTTATCAAGAAGATATAAAAAGGAAGATTTGGTATCTTTTTGAGATTTCCCCTTTTCTATAAAATGGATAAAATCATCATTACTTTTCAGCCATGGGCAATAGATATTAACAAATCTCTGCTGTTCTGATCTGGTAAAAGGCCTTTTATATAAATGTTTCCATTTTGTTCACGATTACTTGTTCCGTGTTTCTTAATTTGAATCTGGGTCATGGGCTGAACAGAATTTGAAATATATGAAAGATAAATCATTACTGAGTACATGTTTAATGTCTCTTGGTGGTTCCTACTACTGGTGTCTATATAGTTGTGTCATAAGAGTTTTTGTTGTACATAGGGCCATAGTACCTTAAGACTATTTCCTGTTCTGTGATTATTTTCAGGCATTTTTTTGTTTGTTTGTTTTGTTTCTTCAGATACAATGTTTTTTATGCATATTTTATGCACCCAAACTTTTGAACACTGATCACAATATATCATTTAGTCTTATGTAATTAATAGGAAGCAGAAGAATTGTCTTTAAATAAGAATAAGAGTATTATTTTTATGGTGTATAAAATCCTTAACAAGAAAGAAAACATATAGCAGATATTCTGAGATTCAAGTAACTACAAAAATCAAGACATCCTAGAATAGTACATAGAGCTGTGCTTTTCAGAACCATATTAAGACCATTTCAAAATGTCTGGGTGTCTTGCTGGTAAATTCATTATGCTTGTAGGAGTGCTTCCCAAATCCACCTTAACAGCAGTAACCTTAAGTCAAGAAACAATGCTCATCAATAAAATATATACTTTTAATAGCCAAGGAAA